TAATAAAAATAATAATATTTTATAGGTAGTCAAATCTATATAGGTTTTATATTAAGTATAATAATAACTCGCAAGAGAGTTTTATTCTATTGACCCGGTACTGGTGGTCGGTTACCTTTGTTGGCCACCGGAATTACTAGCAYTAATCTAAAATCTATGAAATATTGCATGCGAGCTGCCAGCGATCCAGATGTTGGAATTTTTTTAAATAATGGTTGAAAGACAACTTTTAACAGTGAAAAAATTATTTAGTGATAGTTTATTTCTAGTAAATTACACAAAATGTACAATAAGTTTTGATATGAGTGKYATATAATGGTGTTAATTGCTATGGTACACTCTGYMTTTGTTGTCCTCTGAGCTTCCTTATAAATCATGTCACTTCCTTTGATTTGTACGGGTTGCGTATGCTGCGGATTTCCTTTTTGAATACTAATATCTAATTTTTATGCTAATTCGTGACCTGGTCAACAGTTACTTGTTACAATTCCGACACTTTATACAAATATACGTTTTGTGAGATTAAGGCTGTTATTTATATGTGATGTATTCTATTGTTCGTTATGATTGACTGTACTAATTTGTAGAATATTATTTTATAGCAAATACCTAGGTAGTAATATATTCTATTATTTGTTACGATCGCTAAAATGAATTCGTAGAGTTYATTGCCTGCGACAGAAAGATAAATAAGTAAATACCTATAGAGTATTTRAAATTTGAAAATTACTAACATTTAATTTCACATATAAAATAAACTCAGCGTTTTATTATATTACATTTATGTCAAAGAGCTTTTTTCATAATAGTTTAATACAAATATAAATCTCGTATGTAGATTAGGTACTAGGTTCCTACGTTGTACTCATTTAGATATATTGGATTTTTATATAGTGGGTTAATTATTTGGATACTTATWAWTATAAGTAAATAACCATAAAGGTTATTCGTTTTTCATTCTGAAATTACGGCARATTAACTTGGAGTCGTATTTTTATATTATATTTCTGATGAATGTTGAAAACAAAATTTTGAATTTAAAAACACCACCCTAACACTTATAATAAGACCGGAGAACTTTTGAATTTAATTGACGTAGAAAATAATCGCGGCGAATTATAGTTCAGCGGCGAAATGATAGCGGGGAAATGATCAGCGGCGAATAGTTCGGCGGCGAAATGATCAGCGGCGAATAGTTCGGCGGTGAAATGATCGTCGGCGAAATGATCGTCGGCGAATAGTTTGGCGGCGAAATGGACGGCGGCGACTAGTTGGCGACGAAACGATGGCGGCGAAATGATAGCGGCGAAATAAACGGCGGCGAAGTAATGGCGGCGAAACGAACTAGACCCCGTACAGCAGCCACTCAACAACATAGTCCCGCGGTTTGAAACGCACCCATCACCCGTACAAACAACTACTCGTATACACGAGGATTACCAGTCGGGTGCGTCGAATGGGTATGGTGTAGGCAGCGCTCAGCAGACTGCAAGCCACAACACCGCCGGAAACGACAGACCGTTTTTCGCACGCGACACATTCGACAACCAAACGGGTCACACCACCGGCGCGCCACAATACGCGCCGTACAATACACGCGCGCAGGAACGATCGGTGCTTAT